CCATGCCACCTTGATGGGATTGAATTGGAATCCCCTGGTATGTTTCTAACTCTACCGTTTGAGGTAAGTCAGCTTGAGCATGTCCCGAATTGCACATCTCTTCCCTCTCTTATTCCCACTCTTATATTTAACAGCGATCACTTTTCAGTTAAGTTTCAACACATTAGAATAACTGTGTATTGATTAGAGTATTCAACCAAAAGTATTAAGTGGAACAAATAAACAAAACAAATACTAAGCAGGATAACGTATTAAGTTGTTCATCAACAGTCAGGGCAAGGGCTGATCAAGTCACCGTTTCTCCTAGTGTTCATTCACTTTAACAGGTGTCCTTTTTGGTGCTCAGTTAGTTGTCACCTATCAGGGAGAAGTGGTATTTGTCCCTTTGGGATTGGCTTATTTCACTCAGGATAATGCTTTCCAGATTCCTAACAGGGATCACTTTTCAGTTAAAATTTAAACACCTAAGAATAATTGTGTGTTAATTACAGAGTTCAACCAATATTTCTAGAACAAAAAAAAATACTAAACCTGATAAAGTATTACATTGTACATCAACCGTCAGGACAAGAGCTGATCAAGTCACTGTTTATCATTGTGTCCATTTCACTTCAACAAATTTCCCTTTTGGTGCTCAGTTAGTTGTCGCCAATCAGGGAGAACATATGATATTTGTCCCTTTGGGACTGGCTTAATTCACTCAGCATGATGTTTTCCAAATTCCTCCATCTTGTTGCAAATGACTGGATTTCGTTGTTTTTGACTGCTGTATAGTATTCAATAGAGTACATGTCCCATAATTTCTTTATCCAGTCTACTGTTGATGGGCATTTGGGTTGGTTTCTGGACACATAAATCTAAGAATATTGAGTCATTAAGCCATTGGAAAGAAAACAGACCAATAATCAAGATATGAGACTGATTTAGTTAATATAGAGCCTACCAACAAAGAAAAGCCCAGGACTTAATGGCTTCACTGCTTAGTTCTACCAGACAGTTAAAGAAGAATTAAATCAAATTTTTCTCAAGCTATTCAAAACACCTTCTATGAGGCCAGCAGGACATTAATTCCAAAACCTGAAAAACTACCAAAAATTAGAAGGATACAGACCATTACTGATGAACATAGATGCAAAAGTCCTCAGTAAAATATTAGCTAATTGAATGCATCAACATATCAGAAAGTTCATTCATTTATCCCTGGTATGAAAAGATGTTACAACACACACAAATCAATAAATGTGATAGATCACATTAACAAATTGAAGAATAAAAACATATTTTGGTCTAAACTTGAAGAGAAATCATTTGATAAAATGGTATATTTCATGATAAAATATATAAGCGAATTGGGTTCAGAAGGAACATTCCTCTGCACAATCAAGGAAATTTATTACAAACCCCCAACCAACAACATATTGAATGGTGAAAAGTTGGAAGCATTACCACAAAGATCCAATGAGACAAGGATTCCCATTTTCAATATCACTATTCAATATAGTCATGGAAGTTTTAGCTACAGCCATTAGGCGTGAGAAAGACATTTAAGGGATACAAATTGGAAAGGAGGAAATCTAATTAATCCTGTTTGGAGATGACATGATTCTATATAGACAGGAACCAAAAGAATCCACGTAGAGACTACTGAAACTCATAAGAGTATTCTCATAAATAGAATTTTATAAGTGATATAAAGGTAGCTTTTGCATTCACAGACAATACAATGCCATGGCTGAGCAACTATTTCTAAGATCAATGCCATACATAAAAGCTACATAACATTAAATACTTTGGCATTAACTTAATCAAGGATGTGAAGAATTTCTACAATGAAAATTACACAGCACTAAATAAATAGAAGAAGACACAAAAATGGAAATATATTTTATGTTTGTGCATTGGAAGAATTAATAGCAGCAAAATGTGCATGCTACAGAAAGCACTTTACAGATTCAATGA